CTAAGGAGCAGGGAGTTGAGCAGTAAGGAGCAGCAAGCAGGAGGGCAGTAAGGAGCACGTGGTCCTGGACTGCAAAAGGGCGCAGGCCAGCCTGAGGTACAGTCCCCCCACCCTGCCCATGCACAAATTTCATGCACCGTGCCTCTAGTATGAAATAAAAGGCTTGCTTACTATATTTTACTTAAATGTAGTAAGTGCACAATCCCACAACCTGAACAAACTATTAAATTAAGTTTAACCTGTAAAGGATTTCAGTGGTATTCTAGTCTGTTGTGCCATTTTATAAGGAACAAAATTAAGACCACACCATTTTAACAGGCTGCTAATACATTAGTAATCTCTGCTGTAATTGGGACTATAATCCAGGATTCCTCATTCCCAGTAGAGAATTATTTCTATAACTAAGTACTTATTGAGCACTTACTATGTTATCAGCCACTTCATATACAAGTCAAGTCTTCAGGGGGGAAAAAAAGCTGCAGAAGATGTTCTCTCCCCATATTTTAGTTAAGGAAACTGAAGCTCAAAGAACTTAAGTGTCTTGCTCAAGGCAAAGTGCAGGTAAGCAGGAGAGCTAGCATTCAAATGCAAACCTGTCTGCCATCCATGTCACACCACAGTAACATTCATCAATAGCACAGAGCACTGATCAGAGAAGGCATGGTGAGGGCTTCTAGAGAAAGCTAAAATCTTTTGTCATTTTACAATACTTAAAAAATATATAAGATAAAGAGAGAGAGAGAGAGAGAGAGAGAGAGAGAGAGAGAGAGAGAGAGAAGTCTATGTCAAAATGTATAGTCAAAGCAAGTGTTTATTTCTAACCTCTGAATAAAGTCAGATATGTAATTAACTTAGAAAAGGAATTTGTCCCTGAAAGGAACACCAGATCTGATCGCTGAAGGAAGGCAAGCTAGCTCGTGCTTAATGAATCACTGGTTGCAGATCCCATGTCGCACTAAGATGAAGAGGTAGGTGGATAAGAGAACAACCAAACCACTACTTAAGGTAAAGAGTGTGATGTAACAGGCACATTTCACAGTCCCTGCTTTCCTACAAGTACCTGGAGCTTCCAGCTAAGACTATGCCTCCTCCACCACCATCTGAAATCCATCCAGAATAGGATTGTTGACTCCAAAATGTCTGAATTTTTCTGTCCTACCATTAAGGTCTTTTTTTTTTAAATGGGCTTTTATTAAACTTATCTTTATTGTTGAAAATATTATAGATGTCCCTATCCTTATCTCCCCCCCCCCATTACCCCTCCTATCTTAAGGTCTTTAAGACAAGCCATTCCATGGGGTTTTTGGTCAGATCACTTTGGGTGGCTTTGCCATGAACCTTTTGTGTCCTTTTGGCAGGTCCTTTAGCCTAGGGAAGACTCAGTTTCCTCCTCTATGTAATGGGAATAACTTCTACTAATAACACGTTTTTGTCAAACTTAAGTGAGATGATGATGGAATGAAAAAGCATCTACCCAAAGGCCTGACCCAAGATGGGATGCAACCCAGTGTATTCACTAAGGGTGGATGGTAAACATCAAACCCTAGGACAACTGAAGCACATAGGGACGTAGGAGTCCACCAGACTCTCATGATCAATGAGAAATGCAGCATTAAAGATTCCATAATGGCCACATGTCAAGTAAAAGCTTCTGTTAACAAATCTTACAACACCCTTTCCAGTAAGGGGACAAGGTGGTGAATTGAAATATACAAATAGACTCTAGCATAAAAATATGAAAGAGATATTAACACTTGACATCCACCTATTACCTAACAAGGATTTTATAAGGATTCATGAGTATGGCACTTTGAAATTTTTTGGAAATAAACACATGCCCTGTCACACATACGTACATAGACAAATATATGTATTTGAACAAACTAAGGACACTGTATAAATTTAGATCAAGGCACAGCATGCCTGGGATGAGCAGGGTAGCAACAATATGTTCTTGCTTATGACACCAAGCTCATGACAAATGATTCATCCCCAGCACCTTTCATGCCAGAAGATCTCTACCCTCCCTCCCCGTGTTCCACCAACTCTAGCAAACAGTTCCCATCAAACTAGACTGCAGCGCAAGGGAATCACATCACACCCACGATGAGGCAAAACAGCCCTGTCTTCACCAACTGTGCAAGTCCCACAGCTGGAGGGGGCGGGAAGGAGGTGAGAGAGAGAGAGAGAACCATCCAGAATTCCCCAGGAGTCTGACAGGCAGCCTATAATTACCATACATTTACACCTTCCAAGCAGGTATTCTTGTCATCAGCAGCCCCACTTATAAAGGCTTTTAGCTAAAGGTGAGATGAGTTCCCAGGATGTGCATTGCCTGTGGCCTTGAATGCATTTGGTGGTGGTGGGAAGGGAGGGGGGCTCTAGGGGAAGACAATTAATTTTTGTTTTTTTAAGAGTCCCTATAGTCCCTTCAGATTTAGGTTCCTGGATTCTAGCTCTAAGGGGGGGAAGTACTGAGTGGCGCGTTCCAAACAGGTGTACGCACTTGACAATCATAATACCCTCTTATGTAAAACACAAACAGGAAGAACTCAAACCCAGGTCTCCACTGCTTTTTATGTCACAGAGTTGGGAGGGCAGTTTCTTTCCGCCTTTCTTCCCTTGAAAATAATATTTAAAACTTTGTCTCACCTATGAGTCTGGGCCAACTTTGTTTTGGAGGACCTAGATACAGACTATGTCTCCTCCTCTATCATCTGTACATACATGCGAGCGGGCACGCGCGCGCGCACACACACACACACACACACACACACACACAGAAAACACGGCCCCCAAACCAATTAGTGTGCAAGCAAGCAAGAATGAAAGGGCAGGGAGAAGGTGTCCTTACAAGAATAAGAGGCTTAAGGGGGTAGAAAACTCATTAGTTACCATGAGTTGAGTACTCAGATCTCTGACATATCCCATCCTGAATGTTTCCTGCATTGTCTCAGCTTCCCTGCATGTCTCCCATCCAAGTTCTGACCCTAATAATTCCTGCTGGACTTATATGCACCATAAAAAAAAAAAAAAGGCTGGCAACGCCTGGCACCATTTCTTAAATGGAGTTCAAAATTTGCCAAAGATGTACTCTTCTTGTCTCGCTCTTTCCAACATCTTCCAGGAGACACACAAGAAGAGGTCTAATGGGTGAGTGATATTTTACAGCTTGAATTACATTAAAAGCCAGAAATATTTTTAAATCCAAAGTCCTTTCCTCCTTGATACAACAGATATAATATGTTTGATGTGTTTAAAATCTCCCCTTAAAGCCAGAAGCTTTGAGCTAATCACTTAAAGCAGTGCGAAAGTTATTCAATTAGTTGAAGATTCAAGTTCAAACTGGGTGATTAATTTTGGTGGTTATGATATGAAAGATAGGATAGTTAAGGTAGGGGATGAGGGCAAGGGTCTCCGGAGCTTGAACGAAAAGGATTCAGCTCCATTTACTGGATTAAACCAGTCCTGCAAACCATCTGAAAACCACAGCCTCCTCAGTCCTGAAGGCTAAATGGTAGGGAATACCCTGCTGACACTCCCAGCACAGAGACATCCATACCAAATGCTATTTATCATGGTTTGCCTTAATACAATTTAGATGCGTGTACCCAAGGACTCCGTAATGACAGGCTATTATTTAAAAAATGTTCCCAACTTTCATTTAAAAAGCTGACGATGAGCACAACTCACTAAATTGGCACTTTCCCGGGAAGGTTTCTGGCAATTACATCAGGACTGGAAACATTCAGAAAGGTATTGGGCGCTGAGACTTGCGCATATTAACAATTACTACAATCTCACTAACCGGATGGAAGATGAAACTTTGATTTATTTCTTTTCATTTGACTCATCCTTGCTTTTTACGAGCTTCTCATCTGCTTAAAGGCAGCCTAGAGAAGTTGCCACACTTCTAAATTCTCTTCAGCTGTTACCAGCCAAGCTGGCTCTTGACTATTGTGGCTCATTGAGATTTCCAGGTGCAGCTCACAGGGGAAACGCTACCTCCGATTCCAGACAGGCAGGATTTCCCCAAAATCGAAAACCTCCAGGGACTTGTCCAATACTCCTGGACTTTCACACACACACACACACACACACACACACACACACACACACACACCGGTGTCCGCCCCCTGGAACCGCGCAACCCCTCTTCCCCCTTCATAAAGGGGAAGGGGGGGCCGCTAAGTCTTTATTGTGCTCTTCCCCAGAGGGGATCAGGCACAGGGAGAGAGAACAGGCAGCTGTTGTCGCTGGGATATATCTGATCTTCCTGGGACTGGTTTTTGCCAAGAAAACAACCACCCATTCACAGGCTGGGAAGCCCCAGCTCTCCAAACACACTGGCTGGTGCTGTGAGAAGATGCTGGGGAGTTCCCCTCTGAAACTTGCACCCACGGGGGTCCCCAGAAACAGACACCACCTTATCTAAGCTCCTGCGTTTCTGTTCCCTTGTTGGGGGGGGGGGGGGGGGAGCTCTGCATAAAAATAAGAATTAAAAAATAAAAACCTCACATAAAGTCGTATTGATCTTATTTGCGCTCATCCATAAGTCTAGCAAGTAAAGGGAAAGTCACTTGAGGGATTGTCTGCCTGCCTGGAAAGTTAACCCTCTCACCACCACATGCAGAAAATACTTGATGGAAGCCTCCCTGTCTGGTCTTCAGATCCATGCTGTTAACTACACCAGTGCGGCCAGAGGAGCAGGGATCAGACTTGCCAGCTGTGTTTGAACCTTTGTTTGGGGCATGGAGAGGACGCTGATGGTTGTGGTGGGAAGAAGGGGGGAGGGAGCGGGGGAACTCCCAGCAGGTAACATGAAAACACGAACTCCTGGGTCTGGGGCGGGGGAGGATGGGGAAAAGCTGGCAAGACTTTAGTTTGCAGCATCTTTGCAGTCCAGAAACCCCCTTCTCCAAATTCTCCATCAGATCACACATCCGGCTTGAACCCTTTCCCGCTTCCGCCCCTTTGCCCTCGGCCCCGGTCCTACTCACGCTGCTGTTGTGGCCGGACCAGTGGACCATCGCCTGGTTGTGCGCCGAGTCGCCCGTCAGCGCGAACGTGGTGCTGGTCAGCCTCAGCTCCTCCGTCCGGAAGCGGGTGGCTTTGTCGGGGTCCCGCTCGGGAGTCTGGGGCTCGGGCTGCCCCCCGTCCCGCAGGACTCCCCGGGGGCTTCTCCCCCAGCCCTCCCCGCGGTCCGCCGGCTCCCGATCCGCTCCGCTCCGTCTCCTCCTCCGGCCGGAGCGCCGAGCGGCCGCCGCGGGCGCCCCGGGGCCCCGGACCCGCTGCAGGGCCAGCGCTCGGTCCCCGGGGGCCACTGCGAACAGGGGGCGCCCCGGGAGGGGCGGGGGCGTGGCGGGAGCCCGACTTCGCGGCCCCGGGGGAAGGGAGCCCCCTGGGGTGGGCAGCCAGCGCGGGCCGGAGCCGGGGGGCGGCGGGGGGCAGCAGGAGCCGCCTCCGCAGGCGCCCGGGGAGCAGAGGACCAGGAGCCCCGCGCCCGCGAGGAGCGCGCCCAGCCCGGCCGCGGGGCCACCGCCGGCGGCGCCAACTTTTCCCATCGCGGAGCGCGGATCGCGGAGCGGGTCCCGGGCCGGAGGCGGCGGCGGCGCGGGCTCTCCCGGGCGCTCAGCACCCCAACTCCATCCAAGTTGGGCAGCGCGGGGCGGGCGGAGGCGGCGCCGGGCAGGTGGCGGCCGCGCGCCCGGGCTGGGCTGGAGCCGAGCGGGTTCGGACGGAGCAGCCTCCGCCGCCGCGCGGGGAGGAGCCGAACTGGAGGCGCGGGCGGAGCGGGCGGAGCGGGAGGGAGGAAGGTTGGGGGGGGCGCTGCTGGGGCTCAGGGCGCCGCGTCCCACTCTAGAGCTGCTCCAAGTGCGGGCGGCTGCGGGCACTGGATGCGCCACGGACCGGCCCGCCCCCTCCCCGCGGGCGCCCTGGCGCTGCCGCCGCCCGCTCCCCGCCCGCGCGCCCCGCAGGCTTCTCGTGGGTCTCCGCGCGCGCCTCCCGCGGGGCCGGCCAGCTCGGGGCTGGCAAGTGGTCGCTGCGCTGGGGACCATTCCCGGTTCACTGTTTCTATCCGTCTCTGAAGCTTTCTCCTCCCTTTCCACACAGGTCTTTCCCACTTTAGACAAGAGGAAGAGCTGAACTGCCGGATCTTCCCTTCTAGGCTCTGTGCGGGGGCGTCCTGATCTGACCGAGAGCAGAGTCTATGTCCGGGCCTGGGGCAGTCCAGGAAGGCTAAGCGGAGAGGGATGTAATGAAGTGATCAGCGGGGAGGAGGAGAATTCCCATCAATGATCACCTTCAGATCCCTTTCCTGACCTCCAAAGGCCTTCCCTGCGTGGGAACCCATTTCTCTGTGTGGGAACCCCATCTCCCCGCACGCTGTGGGCGTGCATCTTGGTTTCCCTAGGAGAATGCAAACTCACTGAGGACAGGAAGACCCAAATGCCAGCAAGTGACCAGTTTATGTTGTTTTTATCTTGAGGGCTGGACAGAGTGCCCTACGTGGTAAGAAGTGTAAATCATGAATCCAGTGAGCATGTGTTGTGGGTTCATGTGTTATAGATGTATTACATGAATTATAGATCTGTGTGGGATTAAAAGCAGGAAAGGAGGCGTGGCGCTCTATGTATCAGGTCATTGGTGCCTAGCCAGGCGCTTCTAAATGGGCCCTCAGACAAGTGGCAATCTCTGGCTCTCCAAGGCTCTCCGTGAAGCGGTGGCATTAGAAGCCCTTTGAAATTCTTCCCATTCCTAAAATTATGCAATCGTATGATTATAATGTCTGCCCAGCCCAGCTCCCCTGCTACTATTCAAAAGTTCAGATGAAGGTTTATAGCAGGTGAATGGGCTTTGAAATTTACAAAGAATTCCTCAATCTCCAAGCCTTTTCTCAAATAGAAAGTATGCTTCTAAGGGTTGAAATACCTTCACATTCCTTTGTAGTCTTCAAGCGCCTACTAACACCTCCCCTCATAAGGCAACTATTACATTATTCAATGAAGACTCAGTGGCTGAATAAATGAATGCCACAGCAAAGCAGTTCAGTTTCCCATTTCGAATTCGACTTTTGCCCATTTTCCCATTAACCGTACTGAATTCTGAGTTTGAGATGGGACCAATTGAAATTAACCAAGTGACAATTATTCTTTAATTAATAACCTATTTTTTAATGCTTTCCGAGAGGAATTCCTCATAGCAATCCAACCCAGAGTTGTGTTACAAAAAATATATTTAAATTTTTGCTCTTAGGACAAATCCCAGGAGGGGCAGACTCCTTGCCTATAAATGTGTGTATTTAAAAAGACAGCCCGAACCTGTTTGGCTCAGTGGATAGAGCGTTGGCCTGTGGGCTGAAGGGTCCCAGGTTCGATTCCAGTCAAGGGCATGTGCCTTGGCTATGGGCACATCCCCAGTGCGGGGGAGGGGGGGGGCGGGGGGTAATGCAGGAGGCGACTCGACTCTGGGTGTGCGGGCGGCTACTGATTGATGTTTCTCTCTCATCAATGTTTCTGGGTCTCAGTCCCTCAACATTCCTCTCTGTAAAACATCAATAAAATATATATATATTTTTTTTTTAAAGGACAAGCCAGGGTCCTCTTTGTCATTAGGGGAGACACACTCTGTGCTTCCAGAAGCACCTTTAGTGCACATGCCTGAGCCTTTCTGTGATAGGAACACTGCCTGGCAGGTGTGGCTTCTCAATGGGGAGAGGAGAGCCAGGGGTTCTCTCTCCTCTCTCCTCCCTCCTCCCCAAATAGCAAGTTTGTCAGAGCCCAGGACAGCTGTTTTCCTCTTCCCAAAAGGTTTTTAGAGCTTTGCACAATCGTTACTGCCTCCTTCCCAGTCCAGATCCCTGCGTGAGAATTCCTCCAAGAGAGGAAAACCAGATTCAGGAATCGGAACTCAAGTAAGTTCCACGTATAGGACTGGGACAAGTGAAATGGAAGGGAAAAAAAATCGGTGAATTAGAATGTTCTGGTCTTCATCTATCATTTCAAAATGTAGATTTCTTTTGGTTTCAAAATTCAGTTGTTCCTGAAGCCCTGGTCCAAGTAGAGCAGATTTTCCCTCCCCAAAGAGTTGACAACTCCCACCTTACCAAACACACCTACTACAATGACCCCTTTAAGAGAAAGCATTTCCGGTTCATTTGCTGAGAATTCATAGAAGGCAGACACTTTTTCACTGCCTGTTTTTCATTAGTAATTTGAGAAGCAGGTTACACTAATATGGATGACATTAGCTCCGTGTGTTATATTGTGTTTTCTTCTAATAAATTCATTTTCCTATATTATGGCTCTGATCCCCATGACTTTCTGGTCAATAAGCAGGAAGGGAAAGTGCCAGAAATTTCCTAGACCATCCTTTTCCAGAAGACATGGCGAAATAGGCTAATTATGGAGAAGAGTGGGTTAGTCCATTCAAAGTGTTTTTATTCCACCAACCCACTAAGCATCCTAATAGGTTTTATTAATACAGTGCATTAAGCATGGGCCATTTATTAGGAAAATAGTTGATTTCAAAGGCCAGTAAAGAACATGGATCTGTAATTCCAATAAGGAGTCTTTCATTGCGCACATGAAAAATAGGCCGCCATGAATTTAGTTACCAGTCTTCATCACCTAGACTATGGGCTCGATTCCCATTGTGAGAGGCAGCCAATCAATGATTCTCTCTCATCATTGATGTTTCTATCCTCTCTCCCTCTCTCTTTCTCTCTGAAATTAACAAAAAAGGAAAACAATGGCCTTATTAATACTTAATTACTGATGAACATATTTATATATGTTGTGGGTCTCTGTGTATGGTGTGGGGTTTTTTTTTTGTTTTTTGGTTTTTTTTTACAAAATTTACTTCAGCTGAATACTAACATTGTATCATAAAATAACACTTTACAGATTACATTAAACTACTCAAAGTCACAAGGCAAGTTAGTGTAAGAGACAAGGCTTTGATCTAGGCATCTTATTCTTAATACGTTTTTGACATTATGCAACACTATTTCTACTCCTAATCCAACTCATAGCAGATAACATTTATTGATGATTTACTATGTGCCACACACTATAATTAGAATCATTTTCAGTAATGTTGAGCAAGCAATTTTGGAAATAAGTAAGCAAGTTTGTTTAGGCTGAAGGGAAAATGTATTCTCCAATTAATATTTGCTTTTATTCAACATAGGGTGGAGAGGGATGTTAAAGCGAGTGGTGTATTTGTGGCACACATACCCTTACTGCATGAACTATAGTAACTATCACATTGGTTTTCCTCTTCCTCCTTTTCCTTGTTCTCTCCACATCTGATGGACACTTTGGCTTTGGCTGCACTAAATCACATTATATCTATCTCATCAGTAGAACAATGTCTTTTAATAGCTCTCAAAATACTCGGTTCCCCTTGGATACCATTGAGACGGGGTGTCTTGCATTTCAGACCAATTCCGTGAAGAACCAAAGAAAGAAAATGGGAGAATAACATGCAGACTCTTCTCATGGCCTGCCAAAAGGGTGATGGAATCAAAACCAAAAACAAAAAAAAATCCCTTTACTTTCAGGTATCAATAAATAGTTCAGTAATTGTACTTCTTTTCATACACCCAATATTTGTGGCTTTAAGAGAAGGAGTTAAACCCTCTTCACTGTAAAATAAGTCTAAGATTATCATCCTCACTCATAAGGATGCTGTAAAAGTTCATTCAATTTCATGCACCTCTAAGAGATAAGAACACTGCTTTGTATTTATGTAACTGCTATTTCATCAGACCTCTAAACAGTGTCTCCCCCCTCCCTTCCCCCTCAGTTAATAAACCTTGCAGCAGCTCCAAAAGATAGGTAGGGGGCAGATTTTGCCTGCATCTTACAGAATAAAAATGAAATTTATCTAAGGTCATAGAGTTAGAGAGAAAAAACTTGGAACTGAATTTGGTTGTCCTCCCCCCCTCCATTTAGCTCTAATCCACCCCCAGTTTGTATGAATATAAATTAAAATCCCACGTTATTTTTTGTTTAGCTGTTATGCATTGCTCATGCAATTATTTCAGGTTTCAAAAAATAGTTTGTATAATTCAAAAGGAAGAGAAGCATGAAATAATGTCACCGTCATTGTGTGAACTCACATATGCATATATTTTTCCCATTCAAAGAGTGATACTTAATGTGAAAGAGATTAAATGTGCACTATGACTACGTTTATTTAGAGACTTTTATTTTAAACTTTTAAAAATACACCTTTAGCCCAAGCTGGTTTGGCTCAGTAGATAGAGCCTCAGCCTGAGGACTGAAGGGTCCCACGTTCAATTCCAGTCAAGGGCACATGCTTGGATTGTGGGCTTGATCCTCAGTAGGGGGCATGCAGGATGTTTTTCTCTCTCTCCCTCTCCCTTCTTTTCTGAAATTCAATAAAAATATATTTTTAAAAACAAAATAAAAATAAACCTTGACCAAAGGTCTTAGACTGTATTTCAAATTTTCATTATAGTCTTAAAATGATCTGGACACTATGAAAAGTAACTTTTATCATCTCTCTCTCCTGTCCTCTTCTAGTCTGTTCATCCAACATAAAAAAGGCTTTCAGGTATAAATCCCAAAACCAACATCATAATCCTTTTTTATGCCATTCTCCTTGAAAGTGCAAAGAGGAAGAAACACACTTGGAGCACATTTCACTTCTGTTCTTTTGGGAGTCCTGACTAGAAGCAAGAAGACAAAAGAAACAGAAAGCTAGCCCCAAAATTCATTGAGGGCTGCCGATATGACAACTAAAAGCTCCCAGATCACAAGAACTCTTGGTTATTTTTGTCTCT